TTCTGTGGTTGTTCCTTGTAAGTTTTACAGTTATATAGATAGACCCAAAGTTTATAATACTCCTGGTGTCGACCTTGACACTTTATGTTCCCAAAATACCCTTTTGATTTGGATGCCGAATATAATAAAGGAGTCCGTTAGAAGAAAAGCTTGACCTCTACAAAAACTAGTCCAAAGTAGACCACGCCTTGGTTTTACACTCTTGGTACTTCGTTGACAACACACCTACTTCTGTAGAACCAAGTTTATTATTTACTTCGACGTCTTCTATAGTGCTGACCGTAGTTTAGTTTCTTGATTTTTGTTGACCAGATGATCATTGGAAAGAGTTGAAAATTAACCAATATAAAAATGGTTCTCCATATTATAATAAATTTATTATTTAAAAATATATAAATTAAATTATAGAACTTATATGGTGCATGTAGTCTAGAATCGGCGTCACGTGACAAAAGCAGCCAATTTTATTGGTACTAAGAAGTATGTACGTCGTATATATGTAAATCCAAATATTCCTGAATAGAAGATCGTTGAACTTAAAAGACGAGCACGTATTTTCTAAAATTCCCGAAATTAACTTAAATTAGCTTAAATTTTTTTTATTGTTCACCGAAATTAACTTAAATTAGCTTAAATTTTTTTATTGTTCATTGTTTACACAATATAATGTGAAATCAATTATGTGAGATGATACAATAACTTATCAAATTTTTCTTTCACACAAAGTATTGATTATTTGATTGCAAACTAGATTTCATAGTTTCTTTCACACAATGGTATCGATATCGATTTTTTGATTGCAAAATAGATTTCATAGTTAAGGAGTTAAGGATCAAAAATGAATAAATTTTTTTCATACGATGCGTATCGATTATGCAATTATGTTGTAATAGTCAAGGGTCAGAAATAAATAAATATACCAGTAATGGTAATAATAGAGCATAGAATAGATCTTAGCGTTAAATTTGAATCTTTAAGGGACTGACGAAGTTATACGTACGGTTAAGGTGGATGGAGTGAACTGAAGAACAACGGGAAAATCAACTAATATATAAAGCGAACACTTACATTTCTTTAAATATATAATATATTATCGCTATCATTACAATAAATAAAATAAATATAAAAAAAAAAAAAAAAAAAAAGAATAAAAAAGAATAACAAAAAGGTTGTTTGGGACTATCTGATAATTAATAACAAAAAAAAACCCCCAATATCTTAACCCAATTTAATTTTGGTCACAAAATTTTTGATTGGGATAGTCAGAATTTAACTCCAATTTACTTACTTTAAAGCCACTACAACCATTACTCACCCAAACAAAAGGAAGCAGCAACTTAAAGCTGCTAGGGCCAAAAAGTGTGTGAAGAAATCTCATGTATTTTATGAACAAACAGATTATGAGAATCTGGTTTGGTCAGATCAAGACATTGATGAGAGAGCTTCCAATTTCTTTACTGTTTTATTAACGGCTAATGAAAACAAAAATATCTGGAAACCTTCGGGTAGGCCTTCAACTTATGTTGGAGGTTCTAAAAGAACTCAAAGATGCAAAAAAGCGGAGCTAAAGAAGGCTGCACAAGACACTCGATCTATCACTGCTTACTTTGCTCCTACCTTAATGTGTTCTAATGTTGTATCAGCTTCGACTTCCACTTGCGAATCGTCAACGGAATTACATGCATCAATGGAAATGGAATTAGTGGAAATGGAATCAGTAGAGGTGGAATCAATGGAGGTGGAATTAGTAGAGGTGGAATCAGTGGAGGTGGAATCAGTGGAGGTGGAATCAGAATCAATAGAAATAGGATCAACAACGATAAAATCAGCAGTAGACGTATCAGTAGAAAAAGATATTGATGAGAGAACAAAAATGATGTTGGCAATTGAGGAGTTAGATAGGATGTTAAAAAAGGATAACAATCAAATGGATAAAGGCGTAAAGATTCGCTTGCAAGCGTCATTGCAATACTTACGGTTAAGATATCAGGGTCAGACTAGAATAAGCGCAAGCACAACAATTGCCAGTTCGTTAGGATGGGGAGACTATAAAGCATGATGTATTAGTGTATGGGCTCAAAATTGGATAAAGTGGCGAAAACTTCCAAAAGAGAATCGTGATAAATTTACGAAAGTATCAAGCCTTCTTGATGATGAGAGGATATCTATGAAGGTATTTTTTTTTTTTTAGTAGCGATTTTGGTTATAATGTTTTAATTTCTTGTAATTCACAATTGGCATACTTTGAACAGATAATGTCATATCTAAGAAGTCATAAGTTTAATGTGAATCCTAAAATTTTAAAAAACTACGTCGAGAATGAGGTACTCCCTTCTTTAGACATTGAAACAAAAACAACCATATGTGATAAAACAGCATGGAAATGGTTTAGAAACCTGGGATGGGAATGTAAAGAATGAAAAAAGGATATATATGTAGACAGACACAAGCGAGAGGACATGGTGCAATATAGGCAAACGATTTTTTTGCCGATGATGAAGGAATTAGAGCCCGTTCTTCTTGAATATGATGACGAAGATCTTATTAAACTAGTAGAGAAGGAAATTCCTCCTGAAGAAAAGCGGCATTGTGTAATAACACATGATGAGACAACATTATCCACAAATGACGATGAAAAAATGGGATGGGGGCCCAAAGGTTATATGTTAGAGATTAGAATTTGTAATTTATTTGTTATTTGCAAACTAACCTTACACCATTCTAATTATTAATAGGTAAACAAAAAATACGTCCAAAAGGACAGGGCAGGGGCATTCATGTTAGCGAATTTTTGTGTGAGCCATTGGGTCGGGTTCATTTAACTGAAGAACAACATGCAGCCCATCCCGAAATCCCAAAACGTTACGTTATGGAGCTGTTAAAAATTGGTGTAAACTATGAAGGTTATTGAAATGTTGAATTGCTGGCCAAGCAGCTTGAACGGACAATTGACATTTTGGAAATTGCACTTCCAGATACGATATTTGTCTTTGGATTTGATAACAGTACTAACCATAGAGCCTTTGCTGAGGATGCACTAGTAGCGAGAAGGATGAATGTCGGTTATGGTGGTAAGCAACCAAAATTGCGCCCTGGTCGATTTTCTGATAATACACCTCAAGAAATGGTCTTTCTGTTAAATTACCAAGATAAAAAAAAAAGAGGACAACCAAAAGGGATTAAAGAAGTAATGATAGAAAGAAAGATATAGAATGAACGATTAAGAGGCAAATGTGTTAAATGCTCGAAGGATGAAGAGAAAATATGTTGCAATATGAAAAAATTGGCCAGGCAGCCGGACTTTATAGAACAGAAAAGTATTCTTGAGGAAATTGTTCTTGAGAGAGGTCATAAAATTTTTTTTTATTCTAAGTTTCATCCAGAATTGAACTATATTGAATATTATTGGGGGGCGATAAAGAGATATGCAAGAAGCCACTGTGATTATACTTTTCGAGGACTAAGAAAAACTGCACCAGAGGCTCTTGGTTCTGTTGATATTATAACTATTAGAAAGTTTGCAAAAAAAGTGTGGAGATATATGAATGCATATAGGAAAGGATTAACACCCTCCACTGCTGAGTTTGCTGTAAAAAAATACAAATCGCATCGAAGAATTCCTGAAAATATTGAATTGTAATGGCTGCATAATAATAAATAAATAATAAATTGCAGTTATAATATATATTATAAAAATCTTATTGATGTTAAATTTGGTTTAATCAATTTAACTATCATTATTAATTGGTTTTAAATTTTAAAATTTAACACATGAACCATTAAGTATCTTTGCACTTAATACCTTGTTTGATTAAAATTTATTTGAATAAAAACTAATTATTATTAATTGAACTAATAAATTTATCAAATTCAATTGCATAAAATGTAACAAATGAATGTCTGATGGTATTTTAATATGCGATAATTAAAGTTGGTTTCAAAATATCCTAAAATCGTGATTAAGTTGGTAATAACACTCAGTGAGTTGTTTTTTAATCTGGCTGGGTTTTATCTGAGTAACCTAGGTGATTTTTTTTTATGAGTCCAATTGCCGCATGAAACAATCAATTATCAATTACGTACATACGTATATACGTAAATATGTATTGTGAGGGGCAAAACCAATTCGAAATCTCAAAATATGGGCAATACTGCTATCAACCCACACTAATATAATCCAAAGCTCTATCGAACCCTAATGGTGGTAGGCTACGAAAGAGGCATAGAAGACTTGGTCCGAGTTATTAGGGCCAAATAGAGCTCTATACTACGTCACGAAGCTCTAATTCGGGATCATGGGATTAGAAGATTAATTATCAGGGAATTAGATGAACTATATGTGCAAAACGTTTTCTGACTTTATTCAAGATAAACTCTTAGGCCTTATATACATTATTTGGTTACTATCTAATTCGCTAATTCTATCTATTATATCTAACATATAAACGGATCTAACATATCTAACATATCTGACATATCTGACATATTTGTTCGATATGTCAGATCTGGCAGATCTTTCCGACTCACCTCGAAAAAATCATTTTGAGCCACAATTCACCCTTTCACACTATACAATAGTATCAGGGTATGTATAATATATCGATATAAATAGAATATGGCTTTAATCTAAACGAGCATGACTGATAAGGGTTTTCAGAAGTTTAAGTCGTTGTAATATGCATACATATTTGGTAAATTACTTATATTAAATATAGTGGCCAAATTTTGGAATTAATATTAAAATGTAACAACTTTAGCAGTAAATAAATTCGAATCTGGCATGTTTACGTAAAAAATCTTTCTGTAATATTATAGTACTAGTTCTATAGTATTAATTTACAGAAAGATTTTTTTAAATATATATATATATTTGTTAATTATGAACAAATTTAAAAAATATATATATATAAGTCACGTGATGCCGGTTCTAGACTACATGCACCATAGGTTGATCATGCAGTAGTTAACACTTCTGAGTCATAATCGCAAAGTTATAAGTTTGAGTTTTATTAAATAACAAACAACTCTGCCAAGATTATGATTGGAATTCTTAGAGAATTTTCATTAAAGGAAAGAACAAGATTTGTATAAATTACAGTCTGCTAGCATTGCCACAGAGCTGAGAACAATCAAAAAAGATATAATTTGTCAACAAATAATGATAAAATTGAGAAAAACTTAGCTTAAAGATCAATAAAAGAGATGATCCAGTTTGTGGATTATGTGAAGTTAGAAAACTGTGGATCTTGAGCTTCTTTTTTCCTCTTTTATAACTAATGGTAGCTAGTCTTAAATTAGTTTATAAATAGAAAATTAAGAGGTGATTTGCTACACCTAGGTGGTTATACAAGATATAATAGATAGTTAAAATTTAATATCATTTTGATACAATCTGTAACTAATCTTATCATGTATACAGCAAATTAAAAAAAAAAAAAAAAAAAAACTGTGGATCTAAATAATATAAGTCTTATACTGCAGCATTAAATATTCAGAACGTTATATAACTGACTTAACAAAGCATGAGTTATCTTACTATATAGTATAGCAATATTTAGAGGTTAATTCATTATATTGGTAATCTCTGCAAAATAAAATTCTGACCTTTGAGAAATATAAAAAATTTAAAGATAACTAAGAACCTTTGAGATATAAAAAGAGGTAAAAAAATTAAATTATACTAATATATAAAAATTTTGTATTAGTAAAAAATTTTATAAAATTTATAAAATTTGATAATTTCTTTTTATTTTGTAAATATAATATAAACTATCTAAAAAAATTAAAATTTAAAAAAAAATTTTATTTAATTATTTTTTAGAAAATATTATTATATATAATAATATAGCTATACTTATTAACAAAACCAGATAAATTTTAAACTTCAAAAATATAATTGCTATTTATAAAAAATTAAATTAAACAAATAATTTTAAGATTTTGTAAATATATTTTATATAGTTATAAATATATATCTAATTTTTTAAATAAGCAGAACTGCGAAGTTTATCAACTCTTTCTAACGATTACTTGTACTAAACTTATAGTTAATAAAAACAGAAAGTTGTTGAAGAAAAGTAGAAGAGACAACTACAAATAATAGTTTTTATAGAGGTTAAGGTTTTCTTTTTTCTTTCAGACTCCTTTGTATATTCAGTATGCAAGTTAAAAGCATTTCTGTATAAGACAACTGGCGAGAAGGTGGTGTTCTTGTACAGAAAATTTTAATAGAAGCTCTGCTTCTGCTGACAAAATTAAAGATAGTTGGTCTAAGGACAACAACAAGTGAGTTTTTAATACACTCTTTACCAAAGTTTAAGAATATCTGCAAACTGAAATTCTCTACCAAAGCTCTACTCTTTGCTCTTTACGAAATTTTCACCAAAAAGTAAAAAAAACAGCATACCCTCATCGAAGGATTAATAACAACAATTATTATCAAAAAAGAAATTCATGTACAGAAGTACATGTCTACTTTGGGAAGATTAAAATTGCATCAATTATCTCAAGAGGTTACGGTGTTTACACCAAGATCTACAGAGGCTGGAAAAGCGTAGATCACTTAACTTTGCCAAAGACAAGCACTAGCATGAGAATACGCTGCAGGATACCGCACTGAACTTGATGGGATCGCAAAAAAAATTTCAGATTTGGCCTCTACTCAAGAATGGATATTTTATATATCCCAATATAGACAATAAGTAACTAGCGTAGAGTTTAAACTAAATTATTTAGTAGTCTATATAATTTTTTTATAATCTGACATGGGTTTAATAGTGCTATCTTTGTTTTCTTTTCTTTTATTTTAGTTTTCTTTTATATATTCTTTAGTTTTATTTGTTTAAGTGAATCGAATTTAGACGCTAAAGTATCACATCTTTTTCTTTGCTCTTTGTTTTGTATTTGTATTTTGTAGAAAAGATGATATTAATATGATGTATAGCACCAGCCAATGATCAAAGAATTCATGTCTCTAGAAAGTTAGAGACCCAGAAGAAGGCAAACAGCCACTAGGCAATGTTGCATCTGAGCTTTAAGCCAAGTGAGTCACTTATTAGATTAAAAAGGATTAACTATAGTTAAAATTCTTATAATTTTTGCTTGGTTATCATATTAATAAAACAGTAGCAAGATATACTGAATAAAAAAAAAATAAAATAAATAAGCAAAACTAATCAACATCAAAGTATGCTACAAGAAATTCTCAACAGACTTGATCAATTAAGCAAATAGCAGGCTATGACTATTAATTACTTCTGAAAAGCACCTTAGTTAATTTAAAGAAAATGATAATAAAGATAAACCTCTTTCTACTACTAAACAATATAGCAAGTTAGAGCCTTATTTAAAACACCTCAAAAAGCTGTCAAATAATTAATAAAAAAAAGGATAAAACTAAATATATCAAATAAAAAATGATAAAGATAATTTTAAAAAACCAAAAATAATTCTTAGAAGCAAAGATAGTAAAGTAGAATTGAAGATTGCTTGCTATAATATAAATAGATTGCAAAGCAACAAACAAAAACTAGAAGCACTATATAAATAGATATCAGATAATAATATAGATATTCTAGAGATAGCAGAAACAAACATTTCTGACAAAGAAGATGTTTTTGCAACATCAAAGTTTGAGAATTATAGAAGCTTCTGATCAAATGCAAATCCAAACAAAAAAAAAAGCTTAGAAGTGAATCTACTTATAAGCAATCAATAAAAAAAGCATCTGAGTAAATTGAAAGAAAAAATGAATACCTAATAATAGCTAGCTTTATATTCAAGCAGCTTGAGATAATTGTAATAATATTTTATTTGCCTCCAAATAATAAGAAAGAAAAAATAATAATCTATAGAAAAATATATTAATTGATCCAAAAAAAGCCCAAATAATAGTAATAGGTAATTTCAATT